TAATTGAGCTAATGAAGCAATTTTATTTCCTTTAAAACTATCTGATTGAAACTGTAGCGTGCCCTTGAGCATTTGCCATTTTGACTGGCTTTTGTAAAAATCCATTGCATAAGGATTTCTCTCTGTGTTTTTTAATCAATGGTTCAGTTTTTTGTATTGACTAAAATGTCCACACTAAGAAGTAAATTAACTTTATTAATGCCATAATTAGTATGGACTGTCCTGACAGCCTGGAGTCAGATAGGAACACTTGTCCCTGTTTTAATGCTAAGCATATTTTGTGGTTTTTGCAAGATCCCAATCTGGGACCATTCAGACTATTGCATCATGTCTGTTTTTAAAGATGAAGGGAACACTTTGTGCATGCTCCGAATGATGCTTTTAAGTTTCCATAAATTTATTTCAAAGCTAGATTCTTGCCATGTTTGCAGAAATACTAATTGTCATTCTAAATTAGATATGTGCCAAGTCGTAGGCCATCTATCAAAGCATTTTTGCATTTTTTTTAGAGCGTGAAAGGAGTTTTCTTTTGGTTTAAGCCCAAAAAGCTTTCAGAGACTTTCTTGTTTTTGTAACTCATGAATTCATAACCGGGAGCTATGATCATGCTAACCTTTTTGGCTAGAAGAGTCCTGAAAAAAATCTGTAGGAGGAGCTGAAGCTTTTGTAGTAACATGGGGTCCTGATATTGAAGGAAGGGAACTTCTATAAAATTCAAATACAGATTTTTTTTTTTTTTTTCTTGGGCGGTGAGGAGGGGAATGACTTTGTAAAAAGAATTCTAACTAAGATAAGTGTTGGAGTCTTCAGCTTCAAACATATTTTCATGAGCTAATTATCTGGTGGCGGTTTTAAGGGAAAAACCTATAAATATGTTGTTGACCCTGTGCTACTTTTACTGCTTATTTGGTGCTTTGGATTGGAACTAAATCTAAATGAGGTATAATCTTTTTGTTCTTCAGAGCTTTTTGGCATGGCTTTGTTTTAGCAGCTTTTGTAATTTGATGTTTTGTGACTCACCTTGAATGTTGTGCCAAGTAGATGTTATAAAATTAAATTAAGAGAAGGAACAGAGGAAGAGGCATAAATCTATATATGGAACAGTGTCAGAGTCATGACTTAAGAAAATGTGGGGTGCTTTTTTTAAAGTACATTCCCCTGTGCCCTCTAAGATCCCTGGTTTTCTCTGCATATTAAATTAATAGTGGTTTTTCACTTTTGCTTGTGAAGACATTTGCTACCTTTCCTGCTGGTGTCACCTCTCATTTCCAGGCTGGTTTCTTTCAGTGAACTCTACTCAGGAAGGAAATAACAAGTACCACAAAACATTACTTTCTGCTTAATGTAACTTCCCAGGTAAAAACATTTTGACCTCTTCTGTCCTTACAAGGTAGTATCAAATACCTCTAGGTGGTAGAGCTTTTACTCCAATACTTCCTATTTCATGTCTTCCCTTGCTGTGAAAGGAGGAGTCGGGCAATTCCTGCTCATAGAATCGAGGGTGTAAATCAAACCCACAATTTTAACATTTATTAAGTTTGCGACTGATTTTAAAAAAAGTATTTCTGATAATATTGGAGAAGATGTGATCAAAGTCAGTTTAACATTCCTCACTCCAGGTATATATCACTAAAATGCTTTTTTCCCAGCTGGCTGGTAATGATGACTTATCTACAGGATACAGCTGTAGAATTATGAGGGTATGTGTGGAAGTGATTTGATTTAGGAAGGTGAAAATTGACAAACTTAATTTTTTAACTGTGTTCTATCATACACAGTGGTAAGCACTAGAATGCACTGTAGAAAATTATGGGAGCCTGGAGTAGGAAAATGAGGCATGCATGGTTTGCATCTTTAATGCTTCAGGGCAGGCTGCTGGGCAGGATTTCTGCTATACTGTTTAATTTCCTTCACAAAGTATCTTGCTAATAGTTCTGGAGCCAGCTAGAGAGGCTGGTGTTTGAGATGGTTACTATTAGAATGCAATGAGTTTCTCATTATTTGAAATAGTTTGGGCGGAAAAGCGTACATTTTTACAGTTTTCAATTGTTCATTTTCCTAATTACTTCAGCCATTCTTACTGGGCTGTAAAATTAGACATAGTTTTCTATTAAAAATGGGTGGTGAGTCATTCCTTGGAGAATGCACCATTGACTTGCCCAATCTAAAAATGCCAGGCAGATTCAGGCCAGCTTCCAGATGGACCAGTTCTGTGCTGACAGAACCAAGGTTCCTGGCTTTAGACTGTCTCAAGGGTAGACTGCTATTTTTGTTTTTATTTTCCTTTTTTTAGGCAAGCTATTGATGTAGAGAGATTGTTGCTCTAAGCAGAAAATGTTTGTGCTAGGATGGGGTGATGCAGCATAGAGCAAGTTACGAAAGGAGTAAGGAAAGATAGCAGACACTGCAGGATGGAAAGAGAAAAACAGAAGAAAAAAGCGAAACCTCACTCAGATCGCCTTATCACTGACTTACAGCAACTGGAGCTGGCTGAGAGTTCATGACTGGGATGTCAATGGCATAGCAGCGAGAAGGTATTTATGGGAGAAGTGTTCAGTGGCTGAAATTAATGTGAGTTTGGCCAACTTCTGCAGAGTTGCGTGTCAACTGTAGATGTAAAATCAAAAGTCTGAGAAACTTTAATGAGAGGTCTGACAGATCTTGTGGATCACAAGAAGTCTGTGAAAGTCACAGGATGTCTCTGAAAGAGAACATGCTAAAGCCAGTTACTGATATGTTCTTTTATTTGTATGGCATATCTAACACCTAAGTAAAATCTCATTAAAAGATTTTTGTGTCTGAATCACAGAATGGTTTGGGTTGGAAGGGACCTTCAGTGGTCATCTAGTCCACCCCCCCTGCCATTTGCAGGGATGTCTTTCCCTAGATCAGGTTGCTCAAAGCCCCATCTAGCTTGGCCTTGAACACTTCCAGTGATGGGGCATCCACAACTTCTCTGGGCAACCTGTTCCGGTGTCTCACCACCCTCATCATAAAGAATTTCTTCCTTATGTCCAATGTAAATCTACCCTCTTTCAGTTTAAAACCATTGCCCCTTGTCCTGTCAATATAGACCTTGGTAAAAAGTCTCTCTCCATCTCTCTTATAAGCCCCCTTTATATACTGAAAGGATGCAATAAAGTCTCCATTATCATTACAAAGTATAAAATGTGCTGGGACCCCAGACTTCAGGAGAATAACAGAACTACCTTTTATTACAGCTTGTTCCTTCCCCTTTTCCAATGGTAATTTTTTTCCCTTGAAGCTCGTGGGAGTTTAATCAAAACGGGAAGCTGGTGCTGAAGTTTGGGCAAGCAAAGGCCCAAATGAGATAGTGGATATTGTGAGACTTAAACAATATATTTGAAAGTTGTTTTGTTGTGTTTCTCCCCCCACCCCGTGTGTTTATTCTGACTTTTTTTTTTTTCCTAAAAGCTATCTTCATAACAGCTTAAAATACCCTCACTGTAAGCACTGGAGTGTACTCATTAAATTTTTAACTGATCTTGTAAACTGTCACATATATCCAGCACCTTTTTGGTGGCAACTAGTAATACAAAAGATATACTGTATTCCAGAAGAACGATGTATTTTCTTAATAACCCAGTGCTATGGTCTTTGGAAAGACTTTGATTTTTAAATTCCCTTCTAAAAAGCTGGTGGGGTGTTTTTTGGTGTTTTTGTTTTATTTATTTATTTATTTATTTTAATCTGATAGAGGAAGGGGGGCTGGGGCTGGAGGACTGAGCTGCATGAATGTGAGCTCAGGCGGCGATGGTGCTCTGTCTCATCAGCTCTTACGCTGGGGAAGTGGAAAGGAGGCTTGTTGGGAATTTGGCCTGACTCTGTAGCATAGTGGCCGATTGCCATAGCTCATGTAATCCTGCATCAAACCTAATGAGCCTTCTGAGATGTGGGGTGTGTTGGAGTGAGTATGAGGGCTGTTGCTTCAAATGGAGCAAATCCTCTTGGGATCCAAACTGAGTCCCTGCTGGGTGGCAGCAGGGTGTTTGTAGTGCTCCCAGACTTTGGGTGGACACAGCTGAGCTGGTTTTATGTAGAATCAGCTTGGGTCCAACAGTGTGTATTTGTTCCTGTTGAAGGTGTCTTTAGTGCCTGAAAGCAATGTTTGTTTGCCCAGCACCTGAGCCAATATATTCTACAGATTTAGGTTCTGTCTTACTAGAATAATCAGCTTACAGCAAATTGGGATTTAATTGTATGTGCTCAAAAGAAAACGTACATAGAATGGCATGAAAATCTTTCAATTCCATTGGCATTATGTTGTTTTATTATGAACTAATGAAAGAATCCTGATGGCTCAGGGCACTTTGCTTAAAACAAGACCTTAAGTTAATATTTGTATATATGAGGTCAGCATTATCTTGAACTGCAGAGTACCTCCTCTGCCACATCCTTTCCTTGTGACAGCAGCAGTTTGCTTGGCTGGCATATAGGGGATCAAAGCTTCAGGAGCAGGAAGCAATGTGACTGCTTTGGTACGGAGCTGTTTATCAGGACTGGAGCTGGCATGACTGGTATGGCTCACTTGGGAGTAGGCACAGGTAGAAGTGGCTCTGCTGTGTGTCACTGCTATTTCTGAGGCCATACAGGAGGCGTCTGACCTCCTTTTGAGCTACTGTGAAGGTAGAACATCTTGCTTGTGATGCTTAACACTTTCAGTAATCCTCGTGATGCAACTGTTCTGCAAGTCCTCCACGTGCAGCATTAATGTGATGGCTCTGCATGGCTCAGCTTGGTTAAGTGGCTGCTGTTCTGTATAGTGTGCCTTAAAACTATTGACTTATTGAAGGCTGTGGTGAACTCTACTGTAAAATATGTGTGGACTGCATGGTCTCCATTGGTTAAATACACTCTTTCCTTCTTCGGTTTCTTAATAGCTTGGAACTGCATCCCTACCATCTGAGTTGACAGGAGTCCAGTGGCCTCATATTGTTTGTGCATTACGTTAGGATGTAGTTTCGTGGCAGATTTCGGCTATGCGCAAAGTGGCAAGTGGTGAGGGGCGAGATGAGTGGATCCATAGGGAGAAACTGCTGGTGTTAGGGACCTGCATGTTTTGGACATTTTTGTATCATCCTAGTTCTAGTCTTATCCCATGGACTTAATGCCCATTAAAGATTAGCATGCATTAAGAGTGTTCCTGGGCTGCATGTCTTTGATTTAGTTTCAGTGAAAAGAAATCCAGGTTGCTTGCTGTGAGACTGCTCCACACTGGGAACTGAAGCACAATAAATGAGGACGGTTTGGAGCTTCACTGAGAAGCGTGTTGCTGATCTGGACTGTAACAATGATGTGGATGTTGATCTAAGTTGGGTTTGATGCAGTCCTGTGTCTCTGACCCTGCAGTGAGCCATCTTAGGGAGATAAACTTGCAGAAAGTTGGCACTAAATAGTTTTCTCTTGGGCTGTTTTCTTTATCTGATTCATCAGTAGTATAAATAAGTACTAATTTAAGCGCAGAGCAGGGGAAAGGAACTATGTGAAAGCATACAGAAGAGAGGATGGGATCACAGCATCCTTGGGTTGAGATGTCTTAGAAGTACAACTGTGCAGGTTTCGCACTTTCCATCGGTGATGTACCTGTATTGTGCACCATGAGAAACATAGTATTTCCTACTTTCTATTTGATCTGTTCAAGGTTCAGTCCCTAGGCTGCTTCTCATGCTTATTGGTTTTGGGGCACGAAAGGAAGGGAAGCAGCTTTTTGCACAAGATCAGTGGTCAGAGCGGTTTCCCCAGTAGTAGGAAATGAGGTGCTTCCCTACTCAGTGTGAGGAAGACCAAACTCGCCTCTGTATCCCGAAAGAATACTTTGATCTTTGAGGAATTGGTTATTATGGTCACTGTGGGTCGTTGTGTAAACAGGAGAGTGAATCACCGGAGCAGATGCAGAGTGCAGGAGTAGGAGCCTGGCAGCAGAGCAGTGGAGGCTCTTGGCCAGGAGGGATTTGGCTTTGGTTGCCAAACCCTGGTGCTCACCTTGTGCATGTGCCTTACCAGGAGAGCTTCAGGGGACAAAACTCTGGCAGTTTTGGAAGCAGGGGCTAGAATTTTAAAGGCAATGGGGAGTCCACCAGTTCCCTTTATTTGAGCACATGGGTTGTCATTAGTGACTCGGGTCAGGGTACGGGGAATTATGTGGTGTTGAAGTGGAAAAAACCCCATTCTTATAACTACTACTTATGTTTAACACGGAGGTGTTTTCATTGTTCAGCATTTAAACACCTGCACTACTTTTTCAGTGTTAAGATCTGTCTTCAGTGGCCAAATGTATACTATGGTATTGCTATTAAAAAAGCTGGAACTCTTATATCTCACAAATTGTAGGAAAGTTTCTGGGGAAAGCAATTGAAAGGAGCTTTCTCCTTCAGTCCAACACCTGATTTTGAGATAGTCATGAAGAAAAGTTGATAGTTAAAAGGATAAGATTGTGTCTTCTGTTGTCTTTTGTCTCTAGTGTAAGCTTGCTGTCTGCTATAAAACTAAATACCTTTGTAACTCTGTGTGTATGTATTCATACATAATAACAAAAATGTTAGCTTGGTTTTATAGGAGACTAAACTTTGGGGTTTTTTTGTGATAGATGTACAAGTGGAAATAACAATACTAATAAAGTTTGTTTCGGGCATCTAGCAACTGTCTGTTACGATAAATTGGAAAAGCAAAATCTCAGTTTCTAGTGTAACTGCAGTTCTGCTGGCAAGATGCTTTTGGAGGCCACACAACTTTCCAGGGTTCACATTCCAATAAATGACTTTGAATCTGAGCTGACCTAAAACCTGCCTGAAGAGACCTTTATGGAGCATGGCATGCAACTCAAGCTTCTCTTGCTGCTTGATGTTGGACTCTGTCCCTCCAGGTCTGCAGCAAGTTTCAGCAAGGCTTCCTGAATAGCTTGAGATTTATATGCAAAGATTTCAGTTATCCCACAAATTATTTTTTTAATTTTTTAATTTTATTTTATAAGCTATTGAATGTGTTTTTTGTGGGATTTATTTTATATCTGGTTTGTGTCTTTTTCTGGCTACTACAGAAAGGTCACTGGATTCTGACAGTATTGTAATATCCTAAACAAAATACCAAGAACGTAAAATTGTGCTTTTTGCTGGATGAGTGTCTGACACTTGGTTATTTCTACTGAAGACACGGGGATGCTAGAATTTCAGTATATTTTCCACTCTTTTCCTAGCTTTATTTATGGGTTTTTTTTTTTTTTTTTTTTTGGTAGGGCTCCTAGAGGACCTTAGTTACCTATGTTAGCCAACTTCAGAAAGAGTCTGACTAGCTGAAGACTCCCTTTGTTTAAAATCAGTGAAGATGGGCGTTACATGGCCATACTTATCGGGAGGCTTGGCTTCTGCTTTGGCATTGGGATGTGGTTGGCAGAAGAGCCGGTTGTGTAAGTTTTGGAGAAGTGGAGAGTCCACCTGTGCCAGCAGTGACTGAATGCCTTGTGCAGGCAGCGTTACTATGTTGGCTAACAGCGTGAGCTATTTTGTCAAAGAGGCAGTGCTGTTAGATAGGATACTTTTTGTCTTTGCCATGGGGAACAATGTAGCCTGTAGTTACTGACTGGGCTGGCTGGCTTTGACATGTTTGGTCTGTTTTATTGTTTCATTAGGCAGGTTGTCATCTTACTTGAAAGCAAGAGCTGAACAGACCACTCCCTTAAAGCCTGCTAGAACCACCTTTCCCCCAAAGATGTCCAGTCAATATTTTTTTTACTTAGCACTGTTGATTTAATCGATCCCTTGCCCCTGAAAATGGGTCAAAACCTTCAAAAAGCACTGTCTGGGAAGTTTTCTAATTATGTTAGAAAGCTGCCATGGCTGGATGACAGAAAGCTGCCACCTAAGGTATATCTTTGGATAGAATCAGCCACAGAATCACTGAGGCTGGAAGGCACCTTTGGAGATCATCTAGTCCAACTCTTATGCTCAGAGCAGGGTCAGCTACAGCAGGTTGCTCAGGACCATGTCCAGTTGGGTTTTGAACATCACTGACTACGCAGCCCCTCAGGACAAACTGTTCCATTGTTTGATCATTCCCGCAGTGTGCCTGTATGTATATGTATGCGTGTATATGTATGTTTAAGTGGAATTTGTTCTGTTTCAGTTTGTGCCCATTCTCTCTTGTGCTTTCACTGGGTGCCACTCAGTCTTCTCCATGCCCTCATGAGTAAGATCTCCTTGAGCCTTCTCCCAGTGCTTTCAGCCTCTCCTGGTATGAAGATACTCCAGTCCCTTGGTCATCTTCGTGGCCCTTTGGGCTCACTCCAGTATGTTTGTGTCTGTCTTGTACTGGGGAGCCCAGAACAGGACCCAGCACTCCAGATGGGTCTCACCAGTGCTGAGCAGAGTAGGAGGATCACCTCCCTCAACCTGCTGGCAATACTCTTCCTAATGCAGCCCAAGATGACGTTGGCCTTCTTTTGCTGCAGGGGTGCATTGCTGGCTCATGTCAACTTGGTGTCCACCAGGTCTTCCTCTGCCAAGCTGCTTTCCAGCCAAGCGGTCCACAGCCTGTACTGGTTGTTCCTCGCAAGGGGCAGGACTTGGCATTTCCCTCTGAACTTCCTCAGCCTGTTGAGGTCCCTCTGAATAGCAGCACACTCATCTGGTCTGTCAGCCACTCTTCGTGGTTTTGTATCATCTGCAGACTTGCTGAGGGTGCATTCAGTCCCATCATCCAGGTCATTAATAAAGATACTGAACAGTTCAGCATTGACTCCTGGGGCGCATGACTGGTGACTCTCTTCCAGCTGGACTATGTGTCATTGATCATTACCCTTTGAGCCTGGCATTATGGACAGTTTTCAGTCCATTTCACTTTACACTCATCTGGCCTGTACTCCATCAGTTTGTTTATGAGGATGGTATGGGAGATGGTGTCCACTGCTTTCCCATCATCCAGTGAAGTAGTCATTTCATCGTGGAAGGCTGTCAGGTTGATCAAGCATGATTTCCTCTTCATATATCTTTGCTGATTCCCATTATCACCATGCTGGTGCTTTTGGGTGGCACTGGCTCAGCTGCCTCTGATGCTTCATTGAACAGAGCTTCCAACCCCTTGGCTGCTACCAGGGCACTGAATGTAGTCCTGTGTTTCTAAATCTGTTCTGTCAGTTCTTACAGTCTGTTATAATTTATTTTCTATAATACCCTAATTGACCTGATTTTGATTTGGCTTGTCATTTTTTTTGTTTCCTTCCCTCTTTCCTTGGTTGGAAGCATGTACCAAGTGACGTCTTCTTTTTATATTTGAATTCTTGCCAAAACAAGATTGCCACTTAGAGATCTAGGATAAAGACATCTTCTTTGCAAACGGTGTAGGAGGTAATTTGTGATGGCCCATGCTGCCTGTGAAAACTCAGGAGAATGTCGTCTCCCTCTCAGGTGAGCTTTGGTCCTGCTGGATGTGCAAGAAAAGCATGGTTAACCTCACAGTGCTCATGCTCAAGCTTGAGAAAACTATTTTTCATCCAAGACTTGGTCATTATGGGCTTTTAAGCTACAGATAATTGATTTGAGTTGGTTTGAAATTGAGAAAGCTGTGTAAAAAGCAGAGGGGAGGTAAGATAGGTGGTTTTGGTAGTTTGTGTTGCTGAGGTGTTCTGCTGCACCTTCTACCAACGGAGACTTTGCCATTTTTGAAGGTTTTGACCAGCTTATGTTACTGCAGTCCAACTTACTGCTGACTGATTTTAGTATCACATCTGTTCTTGAGTAAAGCTTTTAAGTGAGAACTGTATAATTCAGAACTAGTTCAAGCATTCAGAAGTGTAAGCTGTGGACTGACATGATTCCTAATTATTGTTGTTATAAGGAGTTGTGATTCCTTAAAAACATTTTCTGTCACCGCTGGGCACTGTTTTTTACTTGGGTGAATATTATGCTTGAAGACCTTTCAGAGGCTTGTTTTATCTGGACTGTTTCGGTAGTAGAATGGTTTCTTGCCCATCACGTTGCAGTCTGAATTACCTGGACAGTTCATCTAGTGGCACTTGCTAATATTGAAAAGCAAAACTGTTAAGTGTTCCTCTTAAGGACCACATAATAGTGAGGTGTGTAGCTTCTTGCTGTTTCCGTGTCATCACATGCAAAAAAAAAAATATATGGGATGAAACTATCTTGACATTGCCTATGACCCCTCCCACTTTACAGGTGAGAAAGCAGAGTTTAGATCTGTTTTGTGTACGTATCCATGAGAGTGAAGGTAGTATTATGTATCACTGACAAATAAAAGAGGAAATTCAGCACCTAAATTTCAAACATAAAAAGCTGATGTTCGTTTACTGCTATTGGTCTTTGGAACACAGAGACACATGGATGATGACTGGGAGGTTCTTGAGATCCTCCTTTGGTTGTTGGCATGACCGAGTCCATGTTTTACAGTCTGCAAAGGTGACCAAAATGAATGTGTTGTGCATTTCAATCACAAATATAGGAAAATTCCCTCAAGGAAATAAAGAAGCTTTCAGAATAATTAGTTCATGTTGACATAGTGTGAGTATGATTACCTACTACTTCTGTGGAAAAAGGACCAGGCGTTTGGCAGTTTGAGTTGTAGTCTGTGATGCTGTAAGCATTTACTGTGACTGATACTGTGTTCTGATCCATTTTCCATGTTTAACTTCGTAAAACTGTCCTGTAGTGTGTATATTGAAATATAATACCTGCTAATGTGCTTAAAAACAGAGTTTATCATGAGAGAAATACGTGACGTGGATATTTTTACTTTTTAATGCATTTTTAGGTTTCCAAAATGGTTGGGTTGAGTTGGTTGGAAGATGACATTTTTATTTCTAGACTATAGGTGATGAATGGCCATTGTCTTTATGATCTGTGGCTGCCAGAATTTCCTATCTGTTGGGCAATATTTCATGTCAGCCACTCAAAAGACAATTAAGTGCAGAAGCAAGACAAAACTACTATGCTTGCTGCAGGCAGTAATGGGAAAATATGATGCTTTGAAGCAAGCTTAGAGAATATGTTTGGCAAAAATAAATGTATACAGTAAAAAAAAAAATGTTAGGAGTTCCAGAGTGTGTATCACGAGCAGATAACTCTGTTGATGACTTCTGTTCATAATGAAGAAAACAAATTTTCTTTCTTAAAGGGAAAAAAGCAAACTAAGTCTTCATGTTTATATTCGACTGGTTCCTTTGTTAATAGGTGTATTCAGAAAATACTTTGCCAGACAGATCATTCTAGCTTCTTTTGTATTCATGGTACCATCCTGTAGTTCTGTTTTTTACCAAGGTTTTTCTGACTTCATCTCTAGGCAGCAGAGGGATAAAGGCTATGTTGCAACATGCGTGCAGCAGCACTTCTGATATGTGGAGAGTTTTGATCAAAATTATACATTGATTTAAAGGAGCTGTAAGTTCAATACCAGGAAATAATACTTTCCCCCATTTGATTCCTTAATTTGTGAATTAATTGTTGGATATTATTATGCACTGATAGAATAAAGAGTAACCTGGGAAAAAACTTGTACAGCCATTCAGGATTTCTGTCTTTTAACCCTGTTGTGCTCTTGTCTTTATGCTTTTTTGTTGTGGTCTGCAGAAGAGAGGGAGGTTTTCAGTGAGAACAGTGTTAAGTGGTAGTGCCTGGGCATCCTGACTGGATTTGAGGGAGAGAGAAGATTATTTGATTGCTGCAGGTTTGTGGAAATTTCTGGCATAAACAGAATTTCCTGGTGAACAAATGAGCCTTTATTGCCAAACAAGCCTCAAGCTGTCAGTAAGCAACTCTCATGGATCTTGTGCAACAGATGGATATGTATGTAAATACATTGCTATGCTCCTCTGAGTAAACTTAATTATATTAAAATTAAAGCTTGTGTGCTTATTCTTCTTCACACAAAACCAGATGAATCTGAAGGAGGGTGCCTTTTACATGTCTGTGGAATTTAAGTTGTGTGATATTGTCAATTGTGCACCTTCTGGCTGTATTACGTTTCCTGGATCAAACTTGCAAAAATATTGTGTGTGCAGCAATCAGTTTTTTGCAGATACAATAGCAGATGCAAGTATAAGAATTGACCAAGTGTTGCATGTACACACCATACATGCACAATTTGAACCTTTCTCCCTCCTTGGCCCCAAACATGCATTGAGTAACAAACGCTTGCCCTGTGGGGAGTGATTCATAATTGGTATATTTTGGATTGGGACTTGGTGGGATGGGGGACAAAAACTACTGCCAGCAATCCCTTCCACCACACATGTGCAAAAACCTACCTACCACCACTGAAATATGACCTGGTGTCATATTCCTAAATTTACTTTATACTAATAGGTGACTGTCCAGTTTTTTTCCCCTCTCCAAAATGGCTGGAAACACTACAGTTCACAAATGACACACTTGTTCTTTGCATTTGTTGTTAGGTCTGCCTTTTTGTACACGCATGGCTTTCACGTTGCATTTCCATGTCTGAGTTGCATTCACTGTGTTTTTTTGTTTTGTTTTGTTTTTTTCTTTATAGTGGACTATATTGTGGAATATGATTATGATGCAGTGCATGACGATGAGTTAACGATCCGAGTTGGGGAAATCATCAGGAATGTGAAAAAACTGGAAGAAGAAGGATGGTTAGAAGGAGAACTAAATGGCAAAAGGGGCATGTTCCCTGACAATTTTGTCAAGGTGAGTTTTCTGCATTGACTTGGTTTTACTGTGATCGTACAGGAGGCTAGTTACTATTGAAATGGTTAGAATATGTCAGTTGTATTTGTAACAAGATGATTTTTTTCACTGGAAGACCTTTTGGATTATCTTTTTTTTTTAGTATGCTTTTGAAAGCCTTTTTTGTTTGAGTAGGTTCTGCTGTCTGTTCTTATTCACTCTAGCATTTCTTTTGGTCTGTGCCCTTGCACTGCGTGTTCTGTCTCCTTCCTACTGCTGCAGTGCACTAACAGTTGTCTGTAGCCATGGTTACCTGCTTTAGTGAGATGAACTGATGCAAAAACCAAAACCACAAAAAAACCTCAAACCTACCCCTACAGAAGACATCAAGTCATGAGAGAGTTGGAGAAAGTGGGGTCACAGTTCAGCCAACTCGGCTATAATGAAAAACTACATCCTCAGGCTGTGGTTGTGTGGGTGCTTCAGCCTGGATTGAGCTGCTTTGTTTGAAGGAGCAATTCTGCCCTACCCTGGACTCCCTGCTGCTGGCACTGCCTTTTTTGTGACCTTGCAAAGGGACAGGGCAGAGAATGGAACATGTACAGCTAAAAGGTAACTGTGCAATCAGGTTGGCTTTCAGCTTGTTTGATTTCCTGACTGGGCTCCCCATGTAAGTGCTCTATTGGGCTGCAGCACGGTCGTGTCTTCGGATTAGTCATCATCTTTCTAAATATGATTCTCTTCTCTGGGACCTCTATCTCGCTTGATGTGTGACTGACATGCAGTAGTTGTCTTCTGCTATGAGATATTGCTTCTCAAACCTTTTATTTAACCTTTTATATTTATTCTGTGTTTGCGTCCTGTTTTCTCTGCAAATTTTCTAAATGTAATACTGAATATGCACCTATTTATTAGTCACTTACAATGAAGAAGTCTACAAAGCAGCTAGATGTGGTATTCTACATGTAACTTCTGAAATTCAGAGTCTGCTGAGCTGCAGGTATTTTCTCATCTAAACTACGCAAGTGTTACGGAGATGTTACGCTTTGCTTCTTTTTAGTAACTTACCTTTTTAGTAACTTCCAAGGATTGCTTAGTGTAACTCCCATAAAGTATAATCAAAGAGATTTAGACATTCCTGCCTCTTTTGAAGTGAAATTAATTCTTTGCAAAACAGAATTATCTAATATATCTTACCGTGATATTTTCATATCATTAAACCTAAGGAGAAAATTGTCCAGTGCTATAAATGCTTCTTTACACTTGCTTATGTTAAATTTGACAATTTTTCTGTTCATCTTACTGAAAAAGCAAAATTACTCTTTTTTCTTTTTTTTTTTTTTTCTGTTTACGGAGGAGGCATCTAAGTATCTACCTTTTAAAACTGATGGGAATAATCCAGTTGTTCTTAGGGAGGGTCTTTTACCAAGGAAAAGTTTGTACAAATGCCTTTCACTTGTCTAATATTTTTAAGTTGTTTGTAGTTTAGTTCAAAATCCATTTCCAGTTTTGAGTCCTGTATAAATAGTAATTTTACCTTAAGTGGTATTTTGATGGTTACTGTGTTGATGTACTTAATTAGCACTCAAGTGCCATAAAGGGAGAAGGCATCAGACATGGCTCTTGTCTGGTTCTTCTGTCATCAAGACTGTCTTTCTACTGAACAGCAAAGAGTGATCAGATGTGGCATGTTTCCATGTTAAATACTAAACTTGTTGGGTGTGTTCTTGCCCTTCTGCACCTGTGGCTGTTATAAACTTTGTTTTAAATTATCTCCACCCTGAAAAATCTTTATGTATCTCTGCTCCAGGTATTTTTAACTATACAGCTGTTGAATATGTGCATGGCATGGTCAGATATCCTGAATTACAGGGGACAATCAGTTTTCTAGAAGGTGTAGGGATTTTGAGAAGTAGAAAGAAGTGTACAAGAAAATCTCTTTGGTTTCATGACAACAGGTGATAACTTGCTTTCTTAGTGCTGGAGTTGAGTGCAGTTATGAGGCTGATCTTGGGAACTTTTAAGGTGGTACGCATAGGCTGGAAAACTGTCGTGCAGTGATGAGATGGTATGGCAACCAAAATGTCAACAGGAGGATCATGGCTGCATGCCGCCTGGATGTGTTGGGTGCCCCGGATCCAGACTGTATCATCACCACTAAAGTGGATCAGTCCCCTTCTGTTCCCCCCTTCTGGGCTCTGCTAACACATAGGGTTTCCTGACACTGTACACTACTCCTCATATTTTGACTTTGCATGCTTTGACAAATGTGTCTTTTCTGTTCGAAGTAAGACCAAGTGCTATCAACTTCATTTTTAATTGTTAAAGTCATGCAGCAAATAGCTTCGTATGCAGAAGGGAATGTATGGAAGCTTCCTGTGGATACTGATGTGATGCTGATGCTTGGTACCTTATAACATCTGTTGGTAGCTTTTTGGTTGGGCTTTTTTGGCTTCTACCCAAACTTTTTGCCCATTGGCGGTGAGATCCTGCGGAAGGATTGGAGCTTGGTGGTGCTTAGTTCCTAGTGCCAGCTGGGACCTGGAAATTTTCTGCGAGCTCATCACTTGATGGGTTAACCAACAGTCTGAGACGGTCTCTCCCAAAAGGTGCAGTTCTTGGTGCTGACTTCCACTTGGTTGTTTTGCATTAAAAGAAAGAGAACAGGTAGACTCAGTTAAGGGGAACCCCATAAAGCCTCCAAAATATCCTCAGATACTAGTGTGACCGTGTCACTGCACTGGATGGAGATCAGGAGGTATTGTAAAGGTTGGGAGGCAAGTCAGGGGGTAGTATGTCCAAAACAGTCCTGAAACCAGAGCTCAGGTGTGGTAGAGAAGCTTGCAGTGACTGTATAGTTGAAAACAAGTAGGTTAAAAAAAAAGAAAAAAAGTACAAGCAACTACACTGCCCACTTGTGAAGCTCATTTCCTTGAATTCACTTTTCAGTACTAGGCCTTTTTAAAGATTTTTCTGCCTGTATTGCAGTGTTGGATTTTGGAGCGCATAAATTTCCAATTTTATTAACAAAACCTGATTTGAAATTCCTGTTTGGACTGTGTATATATATGCTTTTAGTGGGCTTGAAATACTTGAATTAGAGTTCTTGTTCCTGACATTGTCATTGCCATTTTCCTCCCTCTTCCTGTATGGCCAATTTAAAATAAACAACTTCACAAATTCCTGAAAGGAATCAGCAGTGGAAACCTAGCAGACTTTTATTGTTTTCTTTGAAAGTGGCTTTTCCTTTCTAAAATTCACCGCAATGCAAAATGTGCACACAGCCATTCACCTCCAGTATGTGTTAGAGCAGTGCAGTAACCCTGTTAGATTGAATGTGTGAGGTTTTGGGCGATGTTAAGGGGTGTGATGTGGAAGACTCTTTGGTTTTTGGGTTGTGGGTTTTTTTGTTTGTTTGTATTTTTTTGTTTGTTTGTTTATTTTTAGTAGCTCTATTCACTCTCCAGCCAACTGTTGTGTTGATAAGATGGAAGTGATGGTTTGGTGTTCATCCTTTGGCTCATTTTTGAAGGTTGTTCTCTGTACGTGGCTTAAAGATTTTAAGAACTTGCTATCTTAGTTTTGTAATTAGCTATATTGTGAGTAATATGGCTTTTCACAGTAGTAAAACCAGTTCAATCATAAGCTCGAGGCAATAACTTGAATGAGAGAGGAGCAGCGGATAGGTTAATTAGTAGCTTTCATCAGTTAAGGTAGAAAAGTTCACCAGTAGGCTTCGGAGGCATTCTGGTGAGCAAGCTGGACTCTTCTACAAGTGTGTTTGGAATATGCACCACTTCAGCCGCCCGCTTAGCGGAGGATGCGTCTGCGATGGAGCTGGTTCAGAGAAAACTTTCTGCCTGCACAGGTGTGTGCAGCTGCTCCTGCTTAGCTTATCACTGAGCCTGGTTCCTTTCCAGGTTAACACGTGAACTTTGCTCACTGTGACATTTTTCTTCCTCCCCCTAAATAAAAAAAACCTGCAACACTGGGTGTGTTCGAGCAAATATGTCCTTGGAAGAGGTAAGCTTGCTTTATTTTCCATATGTTCTTAACGTCAAATATTGTAAACAGACTTTGCACTTCAGGGCAATGAATGTGAACAGCAGAACAAATTTAAAAGTTGTGATTGCAATATAATTTTTAGATTTTATTTGATATATAGTGTAAATTGTTGGCCTTAGAGTTGTTTGTGTAATAAAATTACTTGAGTTTGGTTTAGCTTATCTACCATGCTGTACTGTATAGAGATGCTTAGGAACTGCAAACAACTAGGGTGCTTGCATGAAGAATTTCTTTTAGAAGGGGTGATTTTGTTTTAGGGGTTACTTTCTTGTTCAACTTCCTGGTCTATGTGTTTGTCCGTGTAAACAAAACAAAACCCAAGCCCCTTTCCTTCCCTTAAGAGCCCCCCTAGACCAAAACTTTAGAGTATTAGCACAGCTGACCTACCTTCTTAAGACTGCATCTTTGCTGCCTCCTTCCTATGTTCCTGCTGGTGGGATGCTGTTAAGCACTGAGCGTGCTGTGAACCAGTGAGAGAAGTTTTGGCTGAAAACTCCTTCAAGCATAGCATCTTCTGTAATTCGTTTTTAAAAATAGAAAATTGACCTTGCCCAGAACTTTAAACGGGAATCATGGAGTCAGAACAGATTGCGGGTGAGACAGTGTCACTCTCTTCTGAGTTGTTCTTAATTCTAACCTAGGTGTAATTAAATAGTGTAGTAACATTAATTAAAAAAATGGATTAATAACCGCAAGCTTTTAAGCAATGTATATAGGATAAGCCACATGCATTTAGTGTGAAGTAGGATGTTTTTATAGAATGGAATAAAACACGTATCTATTTCCAGAAATTTGGGGTTTGCTTCTCTGCTAGGTGTTCTGTCTGAATTCTTTGCATCCAGGTAAGGCTTGGAGAAAATTGGATATGCAGTAATTTAACAATCCTATCAGTCAAATGATATTTCAATTTATACAGCTTTTTCCTTTGCTTTATTATTGTTTTGAGGAAACTGTCA